CAGCAGGATCCCATGCACAGCAAGGGTAAAAAGGAGTAATGCATCTTATAAAGTTGCCTATGCAGTATAGCTACACAGGCAAATTTATAACAACAGTTTCAGCTATAGTTGGATATTATAATAATAATTATTATTGTTTACAAAAAACAACCTACATTTGGTTACAGAGTGCAAAACAGCATAGTATAACAGGGGTGGGAGTGAAATGCATTTTTGTTAAATTATTCAGTTACAGTGTTCTACAGATATATGATATTTAAGTAGTTCTCAACCTTCATTAACCCAAAGAGGGCCTTGACCAAAAATCCTGTTAGTATCTGAAACGGTCATTAAAGAATGCCTAAGGGTGGAAGGAGTGACACTGTTGTCGGACTGTAGACTGCTAGCCAGACAAGTTGCAATACACATAAGTTATGGTACACTCAGCTGCAGGAGTTCTTTGGTGTTGCAGAAAAGCTAGACAGAGTAGTAATACTACCCAAGGTTCATCTAGAGTAGCTCAAAACAGAAGAACTAGAGTTGCTGGAGCAGGCATGGCTTGGGGCTAGAAGGTTTCCAGCCTACAATCAGTGAAATGCAACTGATCAGAGAGATGCTTGGAACCATGCGTCTGTCTTAGTATTCTAGTCAGCAGTGCCAGAGAGAGAAAGACTGGGCTTTTGTGAACCAGACCCTTTTGGACATTGGATGAGTAATGGAAAAAAACTCAAGCAGGCCCATACACTGACAACCCAGCTGCTCAGCTGTTCTTGGCTCTGTTGAATGAACTGAAACCTCTCACTCTGTGGAAAAAAAGACAAACAAATACAAGCACTTCTATAAAGTAGCATTTATTTAGGAAAGTGAGAACTACAATAAAAAGATTTCTGCATGAAAATAGGTTAAATGGCAATTATAAAGTAAAGGACAGAAGTCCTTCCATCCTCTGTTTATAGTTGGATTCTGAAATAAAAAACAGAAAAAGACAGAGACAGAGACAAGGAGAGGGGGTTTGTTTTTTGTTTTATTTCAAAAATCTTGAAAACAAAAAGGTACAAGTGCAAAAATGTGAAGCCATCCCAGGGGCTGAGCATGAAACACTTGCCAGTAATCAAACCAGTTATCACCAGAGATTGAAATTTCCTTCCCACCATGCCCTTCTTGGGGTTACACATTTAGGACTGGTGGTATGCCCCTTGATGACCCAGTATGACAGGAACTGGTTCTCATTTTGTTGTAAGGCAAAGTGTCCAAACTCAAATGTGATGTGCGTCCCAACCAAGAAACACGGGAGTTGGAGGGCATCAGATCTGGCCCCTAAAAGCCAGTTTCTGTGGCTTTTCAGGGTCATCATCTTGGCCAAACCCAGGAAAAAATAGGCTAAGCAAATCACACTCCCTTTAGCTGCTCAGTATGGGATAAAGAAAATGTACACAGTCTCAGAGAAAACCAAGCCAAGTGCTGCAAAAACAGTGCTGAGGGCAGCAAAGAGCGGACACAGCCAGGGAGTAGCCCATGAAGACATGGAAGAGAGTCTCCTCCACACCCTTCTTGCATAAAGAGCAGGTTGCTGATGCTGCTGGATCTAAGTGGTGGGCAGAGGTGTCTGTGGCCAGGACCCCATGCAGCAGTTGCTACTGGAACTCACCAGTTCTCTTGGTGATGGGCAGCTTGTACATGATCTGCCAGGCCAGGTGTTCTTACTCTGGTGTTGCTGCCATTAGGCACCATTTCAGGTCATGTCAGGACAGGCAGCAAAGACATGAGCATGACACACTTTTAGTGTTCACGTGTACAGTGCCTTCACAGACAAGATCTCAAAGCAGATCCTACCGTTGTTCTTGCTTAGCATGGGGAGGAACAGCAGGGTCACGGCACACCTCTTTCATTGCTGTCTACGGCCAGAAAAATGGGCAGTGATGGGCAGGCAGGGGCCATCTGTCTACTGAGCTGCCATGAGGCAGAGATGGAGGTCACATGCGGAAGTGGTCCTCAAGGGCAACAGGGTCATCTGCAGGGATGGCAGTTTTCATTTCAGCCAAGACACACAAAGTAGAGCGGACAGAATGCAGGCCCAGCTGGTCGGCCAGGGTTTTTCCCAAAAAGAGAGCGATAGATAAGAATAGATAAAAATCAACTATACGATACTAACTTGCTGAAGAAGAGAGGGAATCTTTGGCTGGGAAACCAGCCAAAATCTAAGGCTATTCCTTACTAATTATTTGCAAGAGGTGTGCTGGGACAATAGCTTCACATACCCTTCCCCTGAACAATACTCTTCTCTGATATACTATACTTGCCCTGTTTGCCCTTCACATACATGCATGTACACACACACACACATTGTCTGTCCTATTTTCATATTTCCAGAGACTGTCAATCTTGACTATGATTCAAAGAGAGCATTTTTGGTCCCTTACCGTGGGCACTGGTAGGAAGAAAAGAACTATGTTCACTTGTTTACAATTAATTCTTTCCTGTATGTGGATAGGTGACTCCTGCAAGGGTAGGGCGTAGACATCACACAGAGCTAACAAACAGCAGCTTATACAATGGTGTCAATGCGGAGTGCTGCTAGGGCCTCTGCCCAGGTGGCCATGCCTACCCGGGGCTGGTCTGAGGACTCCACACCCAGACTGAGCCCATGGGAGGGCTGGTGTCCCCCTGCCTCCTGGCCTGCGGGGGATCCCCAGCAGGGCTGGGGGGGGCAGAGATTGGGGGCCCCCACACCTGTCCTGCAGGTGCCTGTCTTAGGGCCCTGGAGGCACAGGTGAGGGAGCTCCGGGAGGAGGTTAGCAGGCTGAGGGGTATCAGGGAGGCGGAGGATGAAATTGACAGTTATTTCCTTTCCCTGCAGGACCAGGCACCCAAGGAAGAAGCACCCCGGTGAGTGACCTCCATGGCAGAGTGGCAGACGGTCACATCCAGGACCGGGGCTGCTCGCAGCATATCAGTACCAGTTCCTCCAGTCTGACTGGAGAACAGGTATGAGGCCCTGGCGACGCTACAGGAGATGGAAGGAGAGGAAGAAACCTCTGGCCAGGAAGCAACGCCACATTCTCCACGCTCTGAACAGGTCAAGGGAACCAAGCAGATCCAGAGGAGGAGGTGTCGAGTGATCGTCATAGGCGATTCCATTCTGAGAGGTACGGAAGGACCCATTTGTCGCCAGGACCCCTCAACACGAGAGGTCTACTGCCTGCCCGGAGCAGAGATTCGGGACGTGACGGGAATGATCCAAGCCGTGATTCAGCCCACCGATTACTACCCCATGGTCCTAGTCCATGTGGGTACTAATGATGCGGCCAGGAGAAGCCCCAATCACCTGATGATAAACTACCATGCTCTGGGCGGCGTGCTGAGGGAGAAAGGTGCACAGGTGATATTCTCTTCTGTTCTACCAGTGAGTGGACGTGGAAGACGACACGAGAACTGCATTAGAGAGACCAATTGGCGGCTTCGGCAATGGTGTCTCGAGGCAGGCTTTGGCTTCCTTGACAATGACCCACACATCACGACGAGAGACATGCTCAGTTGGGATGGGCTTCACCTGTCCCCCAAAGGTAAGCATGTGTTCTCTTCTAGGTTGGCAGATCTCCTCCGGCGGGCTTTAAACTAGGCTTGTC